TTCCCCATTCGAGAAAGGCATTCTGAAGATATCACCACTCCACAATCTATGAAAAGTACGACCAGTCCCATTATGATCGACATGGCCCTATAAGAAAATTGAGATAAACTCACTCAACAGATCATTAGAATATCAATCAATTCAGGACATGGTGGAAACCATAACCCCGCTCACAAACTAAATTCATACACAGTCACATGTTATCTCCTCTTCACCTTCTGGCTTTCTGATTGTTGAGGCTTTTCGCTATTTTTTAGTAGGTGACTTTCCCTACTTAACTCAGTGTCCCTCCTATTGTACAGAAGTTAAAATTTTCTCTTCCTTTTCCATCATTTTTCTTCCTACTCTAGAGGCTTTCCGTTATTTTTCGTAGGTGACTTTCCCTACTTAAATTTAGTGCTCATCTTTAATATCGAAGTTAAAATGGTGATCATACATCCACTAGAAATTCCCCCGCCAAAGAAGATAGCCCTGTTGCACGATCTGAAGGTTTAAAAAAGTCTCATAAGGCGCCGAAGACTGATGATGTTATCTCCACCATCACCGACGATTCTTTCATCTCTTTTAGGAAAAAAATCATTTTCCTAATGATCTAGTGATGAAGGTGCAAGTTTCCCCTGGCCCTGGGGGGCTATTTATAGTATTTTTGGTGGGAAGAGAGAAATTTTCTGAATTTTTTAGAATTTTCAAAAAATTTTGATTTTTTTTTTAATTTCTTTTTAATTTTTTGAAATCTTTTTTGATTTTTTTACAAAAAAAATATTATTTAATTAATGGCTTGCAGTTTTCTTAACCGCTAGTGGGAGGTGGCCAAACAATGCCCGGCAGCTAAGGGTAGCTCGAAATTGCGCGGGTCATGCGCGGGCTGGCCAGGCCGCTATTGGGTCGGCCATGCAGGTCAGGCGAGTCAGCAGAGTTGGCCGAAGCGGGCCGAGGGTGAGCCAACACCACTCGGAGCCAAGCGGGCTACGGTGCGTGCTAGCAGGACCAGCGCGCCGTTCGTGGCGGCAACCTGCAGGCTAGCCGGTTCGGCTGCCTACACGATTTTGGGTCCAATTTTTGCCCCATAAAAGCCAAATCAGATAATTTTGGGGACCCTGGGACCATTTTTTGACGTTCCGGACTTAATTTCGACACTTTTAAAGCCATTTTGGGCTCCTACACGCAAGACTGGATGTCAAATCACATGAAAAATTCTCCAATGTTTGTGATGCATATTTTCGAACTGCTTGAGCTTCGACGTCCGAAAATAGGAGGGCAACTGATATATCATAAAAATTATCTTGATCAGGCATGAATCCCGAGGCAAAATCAAGCCAAAAATTTCAAAAATTAAATTTGGGATCACTTGAACTCTGATTTCAACAAACTTACAGTCAAATTGAGCATCACAGAAATACGAACTCAACGACACCAAAATAAACTCTATACAAGCCCAAATGAGTCCAAATCAAGCATCTAAAGCGCTATTGGAAAGTTCAAACCATAATTTGAGTTACCAAACGATTTCCAAATATGATGTTCTTATAGTCGAATCAAGCGGCTGGACGAGACGAATCCAACGAGCCCAAGATCGTCGAATTCTGACATCATTAGAACCTTTAAATGTCTGATGAATGGTGCACGATCAAGAGATTCAATATCGGTCGTCCATCCAAATTACTCCATATTTGGCCTTGATCGTTCTCTTATTTACTAGTCATGTTATCCTCAAAAACCTATAAATATCCCATCATTTCTCTTGAAAGGCGACTTAAGCAAGAAGAAGAAGAAGCGAAGATAGGAGGGAAGAAACTCCTCCTCGACCACCACTGTAATTCTGCCCGACACCCGAATTACGTTGGAATTCTGCCCGACGCCCGAGTGATGCCGGAATTCTGCCCGATGGCCGAGTGACGCTAGAATTCTTCCCGACGCCCGAGTGACGCCAGTATTTTTCCCAACGCCCAAGTGACGTCGAATTTCTGCCTGATTTCCAAGTGACACTGAAATTCTAAGTAACACTGAATTCAGCTCGGATATTCAACTTATTTGTAATTGGATTTCTATCTGGAAGTGAAGCATTGTAATCTGATCACCCTAAATTTTAAGAATGAGTCAGTCTCTTGTACCTCAAGAAAACACTAGTGGAATTATATCAACTAGGCGTGGCCCCGTGGTTTTTCCTTTCCAGGGTTTTCTATATAAAAATCCTGGTGTTAATACTCTCCTGTTTGTGTGCTACATATCCGTACAACGATGAGACAAAAATTTTCTAACTCTATCACCACGTATATTCTTGTCCGCAACAATTGTTAATCAAATAAATTCTGAGCCTTTCGCTGCCTCTTCTCTTTCTATTTCTAATCACATACTCGTTGAGTCTCATAAGATCTTACGAGTAGAATTTGTATATCGAATAGATAAAATTGAGTTTGGCTTCAATTGGGATGACTTTCTTACCACTTCTTAAAGCGGTTTTCTAGTTAAAAAAATTTAATTTTTGTACTGAAAAGTCTCTTTAAGAAGCAGGAAGAAAGCCATCCCAAATGAAGCCTGCAATAAGTTGAACTCTATGCGCGTTATTCTTAGGTTTTTAGATATTCATTTATCATAATTTTAGTTCGTTTTCATTGGTTGCTAAAGATGATTCCTCTTAAGAGTAAGTAGTGCCCAACTGCCATAAGATGTTTGCGTCTGGGTGAGATTTCAGAATGGGCTTTTGATTTGCAAACAAGTGGGAGCAGAGACCTCTTTGGGCGATTCTAGCGAGAGTGTGCGGGAGACGGAATTAGTGCGATGCATCTGACATGCATTTCTTGCCAATGAAAGCTGGGAGACGAGCGGCCTTCAATGAGCACGAGAGAGGGCAACAGACGAGAGTAGGTCTTGTTCCATTCGATCGAGGCAAGAAAAAGTAGCCGTGTTTGATTCTTGGAAATGTGAAGTTGGTAGCTGAGTTTCTTCATTTTTGATAAAGAAAGGGTGCTGCAATTCTTCAAAAGGACCACGGCGGTAAAAAGCTAGGGAAGCCAAGGCGGAAGCGGCGCAGGCAACAATAACGAAATTATTGATGCCAGTGCAGATGGATATTAACATTGTCATCTTAGCAGCAATTGAGGCTTTGTTAGAGCCACTCACCATTGTGGGTGGTGCAAGTAAGTGAAGCTTCTGAGTTGTCGTCCGGGTACTGGGAGTTTGGCTAGTTTGCTGACCTCATATTCTTTCAGCCTAACGATTCAGGGTAGTTTCTTGTCTTTCTCTTTGATGCTTTTCTTGTGTTGTTTTTGTTTCTCGCTTTCTTGGGCCTTGTAGATGGCCGATAAATGATAAGTTGATCCCAGTTTTTTGGATGACATAACATCTTCTAGGTCTTTTCGTGAGGCTTTATCCGGTAGCGCTTCCTTTTTTCCTGACCTGAAAATCTCTACTTACCGTGGTTTGCCCTCATTGTGGATTTCAGAGGCCAAAATTTTGGTGCTTGCTTCGCCTTTTGATTTGTTTTGTTTGGAAAATTTCCTACCCAACAACCCTCCCTTGAAGCTATTTTGCAAATTTTTTTTCAACCTTAAGCTCATCGGTGATTTTTCAGTAACTGCTCTTAATCCAAAGAATGTATTAATCAAACTTGTGAACGATTTGAATTATTGTCGTGTCTTTTCTCAATGTTCCTATTTTATCAATAATTGTTACATGAGTTTGATTAAGTGATTGCCTTCTCTTGATGTTGATGTTGAGTCTGATTTGGGTGTCTTTCTCAAATTTGAGACCTCATCTTTTTTCGCCTATGATTCTGCATGGCCTTGGGTCCATTTTTGGCCGCCCCCTTAAAATTGATCATGCCACCTCCACTGAATCTAGACCTTCGGTTGCTCGTGTGATGGTGGAATTAGATGTTTCCAAAAAAATTCCCGTTAAGGTGTGGGTTGGTCACGACAATTTGGGTTTTATCCAGTCTGTGGTTATGGAGGATTTGTCGCCATATTTCTCTCACTATAAATCTTTGGGGCATTCCAAATTGGAATGTTATATCTTACACCCACATTTGGTTGTACGTACTAATGTGGGTGCTGAGCCTGACAATAATAGTAACAATTTACCTTTGATTGTTAATCCTGTTGAGACCATTTCTAGTGACCTTTTGCCTACTAGTGGGGAGAGGCTTTTGGTTGTGCCATCGACGGATGTTTTGTGTGATCCCGCTGAGCAAGTTGCTAATGGAATTGATGGGTCTTTGATTGTTGCCTTGTCGTTAGCTCATTCCTATGGCAATAATGTGAATAAAGTTGCGAATTGTGAAGTTCTTACATGTGGTATTACTGAGGATGTTGTTGAGGTTTGTGTTCAGAACAATTGCTTGTTTAATGTGGCTGCTAGTCCTTTAGTTCCTCCTAATTCCAATGTAGTAGTTAATGATGGTGAAATTGCACTTCCTAATGAACTTTGTGATGTTAATTTGGGGGTGGTGAATATTGATTCTACTGAGTTGGATCATTCTGTTGCTTCTCCTGTAATGTCTGCTGATCTGATTGTGTCGATCTCCTCTGTGAGATTATGAGTGAATGAACAGTTTGTTTCTTTACTGTCTGCTAACGCCTTGTATGCTCATATGGGCGTCAGAACGAGAGATAATGTTAAGGCGTAAATTGATTGGCTTGAGGGCTCTTCATCTTCTCCTTTTGATGTTGATGAAGAGGATGTGTTTGAACATGAGGGTGGTATGTTAGATACTATCGTTCCGGTGGATAAACGAAGAAAGAGGAAACCAAAAAATAGCTTTTCTGTGTTTGGCTTGGTGGCTGCTGCTTTGGAGCTTTGGGTTGTTATAATTGTTTCTTTGGGATTGGCTGTTGTTTATTTTTCTTCTTTGTCGATGGTGTCCTCTTTTGCTATGTGCATTATTTTTTTGCGATTTCATATGTACTTCTGCTTTTGGGAGCATTAAGGAGCTCTTTGTCATATATATATGTTCGCGTCTGATCAAACGAGAGTGCCCACTAAAATTAAAAAGGATAAAGACATCAAGAAATTTGACATTTTATCTCCTTCAGTCAATTTGAAAGCACAAAGACCGGAACATGGCTCATATAGAATAAAGCGTTTTGAGCACTATCTTCCAGTAGCCAGCAAATACTGCAAAAATTCATTAATGGAGGCGGGGTCCATTATCCATCAGAAAGTGGAGCGCCAGCGTTTCCAGCTGTAAGGATTCTTATGATTACCAAAACTCCAACCTCCTGTCCGGTAGCGAGTCCTTGCTGTCATGAAAACCATGTGAACCCCACCTCACGAACTGAAAGGAGACTCCATTATCACATTAAAAATGCGATGGCATCCACAGTCCAATCACTACAACTGGTGGGGTCTTCTAGCATAGGCACAGCCACCTCCTGTAGTAAGTAGTTTTTTTTTTAATAGTCAAAATTATAAATAATGGAAATTGAAAATGTGAAAAAAAAATTATTTTAATTTCTCCTATAAATAAGCATATAGTGGTGAAACTTAATCATATATAGAAAAATTTAAATATTGTTAAGAGAACCAGAGATCGAAGCTTTCCAAAAAAAACAAACAAAAGGTAGAAATTTATACTACAATTGAGCTTATGTACAGCCCTACAAAACTTCATTTATCAGTTGGGATCTGAGAATCTCATGCGGAGGAACTTAGCATCTTCAGAGTTGATGGGATGCAAAAAGCACAACTTTAGAATATTGATTCATTCATCTCAGAAGTAATCAATCACCTAAACCTTAGTTATGACCACAGTTTGTAATACTTAAAAGCAAAATTTATTCCTCATGGTTTCTCCATATTTGAGGTTTGTCTACATTAGAAGTCCTCTGAAACTTACTACCATCACTTGATTCACTTACTGAATCTTCAAGTAAACTTGCTTTCTCTTGGGGATCTCGACACACTCGACCACCACGACGATCCTGAATTTTACCATAGAAAAAAAGAAGCATGCTTAATGAAAATAACAACACAGAATTCAGGAACATAACAAATTAAATAGAGTATCTTAAAAAAAGTTATTAGCTAGTTTGCAACAATAAGGAAACAAAGATAATGCCATGGAAAAAATTCCAAGGAGAATAGTGGCCTAATTACTCCCAACAGATCTTATGGCAGTCCAAGAGTTCGAGGAAATGATCTCATGGCACAAGCCTATAAAGGACAGCTTCTGGTGACACTTATCCTCTAGATTTCTTTTTAAAAAAAAATTCTATATAACCATATGTGATGGGAAAAATGCATATTTAAATTATTAAATTTTTGCTCCATTAAATTCAAGGTACATTTCATCTCCTCAAATTTAAAATCATAATTTGATGTACTTATTGCCTTACCCAACAAACAAAAAGAAAGAGATGAAATATGCAACACAACATTATTCTTGACATAATCTTAACTTACATCTCGATAAGGGAAATCATCAACTTGAAGCATGTGTATAACATGACTCATTTTCGGTCTCTTCTGCGCATCAGGATCGACACATCTCAATGCTACTAACAGAGCCCTCTTCAAGGCTCTTGAAGAAGGTTTCTCAGGCATCTTAGGATCTAAAACACCTTCAGAATTCCTGTTGCTAACCATTATTTTAAGCCAGTCAACGAGATTAACCTGAAAAAAATCTAGCAACTTTAAGTATCAAATTTAAACTTTTGATATAATTTCTATGTTCTTTAATCCATTTTACACTCACCTCCCCTGGAGGTCTGCTGTAATCAACTGGATTTCGACCAGATATTATCTCCATTATTAGGATTCCAAAACTATAGACATCACTCCTTTCATTCAGCATTCCAGTGCTAGCATATTCAGGTGCTACATAACTATTACATAATGAAAACAAGCAAATATCATATTAGAATAAATCTGTAAGATTATAATTAATAACCAAAGTCTTAATATGAATATAACATTAAAACGGACCCAAATGTTCCCATCACACGAGTTGTGACATAACTCCTCTCGGATCCCAAAAGCTTAGCAAGCCCGAAATCAGACACCTTGGGATTCCACTGCTTATCCAATAATATATTACTAGACTTAACATCTCGATGAACTACTTTTGGTTCCAATCCTTCATGCAAATACATTAGCCTGCACTTAAATCAACCACGTAGTAATATTCAGTATTAAGATACTGAACTTAATTAAGTTTTTGAAGAATTATTGCATTTACCCTTTAGCAGTTCCGAGTATGATATCCATTCTAACCTCCCATGTGAGAGGACTGATAGGTCCAACATCTCCATGAAGCCATTGTTCTAAGTTTCCATTATCCACATACTCATATACAAGCATCCTATGAGCTCCTTCAGCACAATAGCCTAGCAATCTCACCAAATTCTTATGCCGAACCCGACCAATTGCTTCAACTTCAACCTTAAATTCCCTCTCTGCTTGACCACTGGAAACAACAAATGACACCTTTACTTGATTACTGAATCAGAAAGAAAGAAAAAATAAAAAGTAAATATATTATAAATACCGGTTGTTGAGCAAATTCTTCACTGCGATATGAGTGGTATCAGTCAAAACCCCATGATAGACGATCCCATACCCTCCTTCTCCGATAACATTCTCGTCAGTGAACATATTGGTTGCTACCTCGAGCTCCCGGAGAGTGAACCAATGACCCCATCCTAAGTGCGAGACTTCAGGGGCAACAATAGAAACCAGCTGGTCACCGGACCGGTTCTCGCCGCTGCCGCACTCGGGATAAGTGATTCTATGGTCCTTGCCGATCTCAATGTGGATTCTATTGATTCCAATTGGGCTTTCTTCTTCTCTTGGCAAGAGAAGGGCTTGCCTTTCGATTGAAATAGGGGACGGGTTAGATTCAGCGGTAGATTTTTGGAGTATTTGTGCCAAGGGTTTTGGATCGGTGGGAACGACAGTGACTTCAAGGATTTCTTTAGAGAGGTTAGGGATTGAGGTTTTTGAGCTGGAAGCACTGCGACGGGATGCTAGCCAGAGTGAGATGAGGAAGAGGAGGAGGACAAAAGCGGCGCCGACGCAGATTCCTACGATTACCCACAGATGGAGGCCGAATATAACAGTCCGCTTTGAGAGATCGTCGCTGTGATGAGCAGAGTTGCTATCCTGCGTCATCATCCTTCGCTTCGGAGAGGAAATGTGGAAGAAAAATAATGTAATTGAATTTGGGTTTGCAAGAAAGATGGGAAATTAAAGGAAGAGGATCGATGGTTTCACTCAAAAGATCGGACTTTGAATGTACTGAAGATGCTATAGGAGTTGGTGTGGACGTTTCCTTTGCTGGGAACTATTCAGAGGAGGATATTTCTGAAGACATTGGGCGAGAGAGCGAGAGACCGAGAGGTGAAATGAAAGCACTCGAAGCAGTCTCTGGAGAGGAGAGCGCAAGTGGGGAAGGGGATGACAGCTGGCTTGAGGCCGCCAATAATTAGAAACTAACAGTTCTCAGACGTTTTTTTTTTTTTGGAAAACAGTTCTCAGAGGTTGTTTGCATAGTTAGGGGCTGTTTGATTGTCTGAAAAAGAAATGCAGTATAATGTAAAAGCAGTATAAAGTAAATGTAGTGCATTCTGAATATTTTGCATCTGTTTGATTGTCTGCAAAATAAATGCAGGAGAATTGTTTCCTTTATTTGATTTAGTAGATCAAGAGTAAAGTAAAACCAATTTTTTTATAATAATTTATTCTAGCATTACAACTAATTAATTTATAAAAACAATATATTTATAATAATTCTAGCATCAGTTGCCCTAAATAAAGCACCAAATGTCCATGGTGATAAGCTGACAGATTTCCACGATTGATTTGGAAAAAAAAGGATTTCTAAGATGTTTTGACAACAGCTACACAATGTGTGGGCCAAGAAATGAATGGATTTGCATGACCTTAAATCCACAGAAAAACTAACTCTTATAGCAGCTTTTAAAAGATAGTTAAAATTAGAAATTTATTTCCATTGTTTAGGGAAACATTAACCTCAATGTATAGATTCTACTACTAAATGTTTTGATGGACTCTCAACAAATAGCCTAACTTCTAACTAAGGAGTAAACTTCTGTTTAACATATATGTGATGATGGACTCTCTAACATATATCTTTTTCTACCTAGTCATATGGAAGTGAAGGTTCAGAAACGGGCGCAATTTCTTCATCAAATATGTCTATATTCTCTTAATGTAAGGTTTTCTCTCTTCTATTTTTTTATTACATTGCTTGAGCGTAGGAACTGCTTCTTTCGCTTTCAGTGGCCTTGGACCTTTATCTTCCCAACCGGCTCTTCCGATTCATCAACCTAGTGTATTTATAAAAGCATTAGCTACATTCTTCCTAACTTGAATTAACAATTTATTTAGCAATGCATGCATTCAATAATTGATAAATACAAGTAATAATCTTTGTGATATTTTTTTTAAATGACCTATAAAGCAGGATACAACAAAAAACTAAAAAAGGGATGAATCATTACATATGCATGAATCATGCACAAATCCTGTAGGAATCACATCACCTCCTATAGTTTCGAGTTCTACATTCTGTAAAAGGTCCTGAAGTGCCAAATATCATGCCTGCAAAGAGCATGCCCCAATTGCTGCTCATCCTTATAGTTAAAAGCTAGATGAATAAAACCTTTAAAGCTTCGATCTCTTCTTCACAAACATGAAAAAACCCCTGTTCGTGATGTGATTCCTAAATTTGTCTGATAATTATAAATTCGAACCCCTCTACAGTCATTACTCCAGCTTCAATATCCGACCATATCCCCACAGTGCCGACCTCACATCCTCCTCTTATAACCTAATTGGAAGCCCTATTCATACATGATCTCCACGCTTACGCTTCATCTGACCTCTCTTCCAAAAGAAAGTTGAACCCTTTTTTGATCTCCCTACTTCCTTCCAAACCTCTATTCCAAATAGACGATCTTCTACTCATTTCCTCCCAGCCAAATATTCTCCACGCCAAATCCTTGTGCCGATCTCCAACCCGAGTCACGAATCTCGGCGCACTCACTTCGATGACATGGACGATCTACTCCAGCCGGAGGCGACGGCGGCAGGGACTTAAGCCGCAATCGGTTCTATCGAGGAGGAAGATGAAGACGAGGATTGATGGTCTTGTATGCTGTCCGAACTCCTCGCCGAGATCATAAAGAGGGTGGAGGCAAGTGAGGACCAGTGTCTGCTTCGCAAGAGCGTTGTCGCATGCACCTGTGTCTTCCGCAAGTGGATGGAGGTCACCACCAGTATCGTCAGATCCCTACAAGAGTCTGGCATGACACCTTTCCTTCGTTTCTTAAGCAGGTCTGATATCTGTTCTCCATGGAGATATCATCCAAATGTGGTAGCTGAGGCAGAGATTCCGGAGCAGGATTTTACGAAGGAGTCGTCTTCGAGGCCGAGGAGACAAGGAAGAGTATGCGGACCAGAGGATTTCTAACCCGCTCAATTTGAGCAGGTTTCAAAGTCTCGCAAAATGTCATATGCAATACACTGCTAAACCTTCGGAGGAGTTTCTTATTTTTTGCTCAAAACCAACCAAACAGTTTAATTTATCAAATACGTGAAATTAAAATTCTTTACCCTCCTAATTCTTCAAACCAAATAGCCCCATAATATGACAACGACACGTATATTAAATTTTTTTTTCTTTTGGGAAACTGTATTATTTAATGTTTCAATTACTCATTTAAGGAGGTAGAAAGGAACTATGGCTCTGATGAAAATCAGATCGGACAACAAATTGGAAGAGTGAGAGGTTCATGGTTCGACCAGTTCAACCTCGATTAGACCGAGGTCAAACCGGATGAAGAAATAAATAATAAATATTATTGAAATTTAATAAAATTAACATAATTATAATTTTATCATTTAAAATATGAGACAAAAAAAACTATGAAACATAAAACTTATATAATTAAGTAAAAGAATTATTTTTAAAATCTCACATAAAAGAAAAAAAATCTAAATATCATAATTATAAGAATTTACATTAATAAAAATATGATAATTTTAAATTTAAATTTTTTTCAAATTTTAAATTTGATTTTTAATTTAAATTTAAATGGCATATAACTATATAATTTAATATAAATTATTATTAATTCATGTTACATATTTAATATAAAATTAATTCTAATATAATAATAATAATAAATTTGTATTATTAAAAAATAAATAATTATCATTAACATAAAAAATAATTAATTAAAAAATCTGTTTGAAAATATATTTTTTATATGTCATCAAAAAATTATCTTGAACGGGCACAAATCTCGAGGCAAAAATCAAGTTGAAAACTTCAAAAATTAAATTCGGGATCATATGAACTTTGATTTCAGCAAAATTATAGTCGAACTGAGCGCCTCGGAAATACAAACTCAATGACAATAATTCAACTCGATCCGAGCCCAAATGGGTCCAAAACAAAGACCCGAAGCACATTCAGAAGGTTCGAATCACAATTTGAGTTACCAAACAGTTTCTAAACATGACGAGCTTATAGTCGAATCGAGCGGCTCGACAAACGAATCCAACGAGCTCAAGATCACCAATTTATGACATCATTAAAACCTTCAAATGTTTTACGAATGGTACCTGATCAAGGGATTCAATATCAGCCATCCATCCAACCACTCCTTATTTACCCTTTATCTCTCGCCTATTTACGTGCCATGCCACACCATAAAATCTATAAATTGACCCCTCATTTAACTTGAGAGGGGACTGAAGCAAGAAGAAGCAAGAGAAGAAGGATAGGAGGGAAAAAACTCATCCTCGACCACCACCGGAGTTCCGCCCGAACTCTAAGTGATGCTGGAATTCCGCCCGGCCTCCAAATGACATTGGGATTCCACCTGACATCCAAATGACACTAGAATTCCACCCGACCTTTAATCAACATCGAAGTTTCACTCGAACTCCAAGTTACATTGGAGTTCTCCTTAGTCGCCAACTAACGTCAGACTTCTATCCGACGTTGTACCTCCACTCATCGCCAATTTTCTACCCGACTCCGGACTTTTGCCTATTGTAGGACTATTCACTGAACATCTATCTGATGTTGGATTTTTCTCCATTGTTGGATTTCTACTTGACTCCATCCTTCTGAACTTCGTCGTTAGACAACAGTCCTTCCAACCTTTATCACCAGCCGACTACAGTCCTTCTGACTTATGTTGCCCACCGACTAAAGTCCTTCTGACTTCCATCACCCACCAACTACAGTCCATCCGACCTCCATCGCCAGCCAACTACGGTCCTCCTGACTTACATCTCCCACCGACTACATTCCTTCCTACCTTCTGTCGCCTGCCGACTACAATTCTTCTGACCTCTATCACCAGACTATGATCCTTCTGACCCCACAAACACATTAACAATGATTCTTTATATTTACATCATGTAATGTACTCTATATGATGTACATCAAATTAAGGCCTTCCCCTAAAGAAGGGACACATTTGTAATCAACTATAAATACTAGTGGATTCATTCAAACTAGGCTAGGCCCTGTGGTTTCCCCCCCTTTTTGGGGTTTTCCACATAAAATCTCGGTATCTCCTTTAATGCTGCACCTCCTCTCTGTATCTGTATGTGATGGATCTTCGTACAATGCTCAGACATTAAATTTTATATTTCTCTACTATCGTGAATACTCTAGGATGCAACTTTATTGCTAACTTTGCATATTGTTGCATCCATGAGTATTCACGATGGTAGAGAAATGCAAAATTTAGCATCTTAGTTGTGAGAGCTCGTTTCTTTGATTTCCTTCCAGGATCGTCCGGGCCGATTTTGGTTTTATGACGATATCTCAGGACGATAATTAATTTCCATGGACGATAAAAACCCTTGCTCACTGACTTTTGCCATGCACTGATCGTCCCAAGACGATCCAAAATCGGCTCGGACGATCCTGGAAGGAAATCAAAGAAACGAGCTCTCATATTAGTATTGTACGAAAATTTGGCACACAATCAGATAAGAGATAAGGTGTGTCATTCACTAACATTTATGAGAGACACTAAGATTTTTATGTGGAAAACCTCATAAAGGGGGAAAACCATAGGGCCTAGCCCAATTTGAATGAATCCACTAGTATACAGTTGATTACAAATGAGACCCTTCCTTTGGGGAAGGCATTAGCTTGATGTACAACTTATAGAATACATTGCATGACGTGAATACAAAGTATCACTATTAATGTGTTCGTTTGGTTAGAAGGACTGCAGTTGATGGGCGACATAAGTATGAAGGAATATAGTCGATGGGCGACGTAAGTCAGGAGGACCGTAGTAGGCAGACAACTGAGGTTGGAAAGACTATTGTTGGCAGATGATTTAAGTCAGAAGGACCATAGTCGGTGGGTGATGGAGGTCAAAAAGACTGTATTCAGCGGGCAATGTAAGTTAGAAGGACT